AAAAAATAAAATTTACATATCAAAAAACTACATGAAAAATTCTTCAAAATAAAGTGTCAAGAATATTTTATTTTATCAAATAACCAATGAAAACGTAGAAATAAACAAAAGTTCCCGTGACTACGAGAACTTTAGGGACGGAGGGAGTATTTGTTTTGAACTCTGTTTTGAACTCTGATCTACCGTTCATTAGTTTTTTAAGATATTTCAATTACCTTTTTCAAAGTTTTTTAAATTTCTTTTAGTTTCATACTTTTAGTTTTAATTACATTTGTTTTAGTTTTTTTAGTTTTGATATTTTTTGCAACGGAGTTAACGCAACTCGTTATGCCGTTGCAAAAGTTTAATAATTTGTTGCAAATTTTCTGCAATGGAAAAACCGTTGAAAAAATCTGTTGCAAAACGCTCCCGGAAAAAGGCGCCAAACTCCCATCATAATTGCAACAGATAAATTACCTCTCCGTTGCAAACAATACCGTTGCAAAATAGTTATGTTGCAAATTAAATTGCCGTTGCAATGTCGCAACGGAATAATGCCTGTTGCTGTATTTCTGTTGCAAAACTAACATTTTCTTGTAGTGAAATAATATTAAAATATTCATCAGTGTATTATAAAATGGTGCGGAAGCTCAAATACTTAAATCAAAATACAATTTTTGGTCCTTTGCCCAAAAACATATTAAATTCAAACTGAAATATCAAATTAACTTTATTCATCAGCCTGCATCCACACGCCATCTCCTCACCCTCACTGCCCTCCAAGATTGTTGCCTTAATCGTCATTCCCGTTACCTTCTGTAGAAAAAGAACAAACGCCACACGCTCAACATTGCTGCTAAGTGAGAAATATCTAACGTTTGGCTACACATATAGACGAACTCACTAGCTCATAATTCTATACAATATCATGCACACAAGTATAACATTAATAATATTGCATAACAAACATCAAGAAATATAAACTATGTTATAACAATCATACTTCATATTACTTGTCTTGGTTCTTCGTCTGCATATGTTATTAACTCAATATTCAAGTCATTACAATAGCTTATATAAAACAATAGCTCATAACATATTCTAGACTAAAGCCAATTCTTCATTATCCACAATAGATCAGGGATACAATCTCATTTAGATCCATCGAATTCTATCCTCTTCAACAATAGATCAGGGACACAATCTCATTTAGATCCAAAAAATAAATCATGGATAAAAATTCTTTGTTGTGACCTAAAGATATGTAATTCCTAATTCGAGTCATTTAATGAAAAGTATTTATCTCCTATATTTCTCTTTCGATGAATGTTATTATTATCTATGTGCGAAATCTGAAATATGAAATGTAAAGTTACCTCATTATTTGCTTCGCTTTTGTTCACATTTCTGGGAAGTATCTGACTTAAGGGGTTAGTACCCTGCATGTATATTTCTCGGGATATGGAATAATCTTTTCTTCCTTTTTCCAAGTGTCAGCATATCCATCTTCTTCCTAGCCTATGCGGTGGTTTACTAGGTTCTGGCTCTCTAAGTTCGTTTGACGTTCTTCCCAAGGATTCCGAGTCGTAAAATCACTCTAAGTTCTTTTCGAATCCCTCCCTTGTTATGCGGAGGCATCATTTTCTCTACCTCCCAGAGGGGTGCATAATCTTTTTTACCTCTCCTATATTTATCAGGTGTCATAAATCTTTTCTACCGCCCTGTAGCTCGGGAGTACCCTCCCCCCTTTCTTTTGGAAAATTGGAATATAGACTAGAACCATGCAATAACACTTTGCATCTTTATTCATTAACAATTAAATAGATACATTCAGTTAATCAAGTGTTCAGCATTTCACGTCATATCTATTTCTTTTTCTTTCAAGGGTCATCAGCTTATAAGTGCCCGGGATCAAGACTGCATTGATGATATACGTGGTCAAATTGATAATGAAATACTACCTCCATCCCCAATTTGATTACAATTTTTTTCTTTTCTCTCGAGAATTTTTGTTTATTTATGCAATTTCATTAAGTATTTGATAAAATAAAATATTTTTCTCAATTCTTGTTTTGTTAAACTTTTGACGTAGTTTTTTAATATGTAATTTTTATTTCTTATCGATATACTGATTTGTAAATAAAATGATTTCAAAAATTGAGATATTTCTCCTCGTAAACCCTAATTTGATTACAAATTAGGTACCGAGGGAGTATCAGTTTTCATTTTTATTCTCAAGTTTTTTTTCATCTTCAAACTGTAGGGAGTAGTTAGTGAGCAAAAAGAAGAGATTCAACCGCTCTTTGATAAGACTGTAAAAGATACATCGTACACTCAGACAATGAATTCGTGTTATGTACAATCAACAACCTCGAAAAACGAAAAAAAACAAAAACATTGACCAGTGCAATTGATCGTATCCTTTCGCCAATGAAGGCCCCTGCCACACTCTGACAAGGCCTCTTACTGTCGTCGTCATCGTGGCCCACTGCGTCTCTACCGCATGCCACTATCACTTGAATCTCCGCCGCTAGCTTACTCCACCCACACCGGGATGATGTGCCACCATGACAAAAATCCAACATTGTGGCCCTTTTATTTATTGACATCGACGACATCACCACTCTACCACCATCACACTCTGCACAATCTTCGTTGCAGTGCCACATTAATAGCAGCAAAAGTATAATTTTAAACATGGCCACATATAATATCACATATGGTAATGCATGATGCCACAGATTACCATATAAAGTCACATATGGTAATGCACGATGCCACAGATTACCATATATAATGTTACTGTTACAAATTTAAAATGTCAAACAAATGAATAATGTCAAACTCAACCACTGACGTGCAATAATGGACCATCATCCATCTCACGGCTACCGTTATGGCAGCTGGATGACAAATCATCATTCACTACGGTTGGCCCTCATTTCTCGACACCAAATCGTTGTCCGAAAGCATCCAAGCAAAGCTTAAGGTAAATAAAACTTGTAAAATTTGTTCTAAATAGGATTAAAACATAATGACTTTCCCAATGTAGGACTTAAACTTTTTTATTCCCTAAATAGGACTTAATAATGACCTAGTGAAAGGAATAATGTCCAGTAATGATGGACATTTACTTGAATAATGACTACTTGATAATGACCAAAAGTCCTACATTGGGAAATAAAAACATATGATCCTATATTGGGAAAATCATTATGTTTTAGTCCAATTTAGGTAAATTTCTCATAAAACTTCAATTAAATGTCAATAGGGAACCAAAAAATTTCTGAAATATGAGATTTGAGAAAGAGAGATAGAGCGGCATGGCAAATTTGTGTTCTGTTGCACGACGAACTAAGATGTTGCAGGCGGTAGTGGTGGCGATGGTGTTGCATGAGCCGGCAATTGTTATGGATCGAGGGAAGGGAATCGGGAGAAGGGGAATCAGCGAAAGGGATAAGGGAATCGGCAGATTTTTTTTCCTTTCTCAATTGAGTCATGCGTGTGGGAATCAACAGATTATTTCTACTTAATTATTTGTGTTTAGAAGAGTTTAACTTTGAAAAGATATAACTATAACTATGAAATTCAATGTTAATTAATGCAAATCTTCAACGTGTTCCCCCTTGTACCCTTCTCTCACACCCATTTTGAACAGTGAGGTGAGTGTAGAATTACGAGGAAAAGAAAAATGCAGCGTTCAAACTGCGAATCACTGCACCACGTGGCAGCCGACACTCCCTATGTCTCTATTCATCGTTTCCTCGTACCCCACCACCACCACCACCGTGGCCTCTTGCCGTCGTCGTCTCCGCCACCAAATCCGCATCTGCCGCCTTAAACATTACCCAGCACAGTACATCAACTTCAATCAAATATATCTACAAAATGAAGATCTGTAAAATCTTGACTAAAAAAATATTCCCAGAAAAGCTAAATTTGATTATGGTGATCTATTTCAATAGAACTTAAACAGGAATTACAAAATCTATAACTATTATTGATTTTTGGTATAACAAAATCTTGAAAACTCTTCAGATCAAACGCCGCAGAATTGATAGCCTCTCCTCTGTTGCAGATCGAGAGAAAGGGAGATCGGCATAACCTATTCACAAAATATGCAATTTCGCTTCCAAAAAATTACAACTTAAGGTAACATTCAGGCTGCGGCGGCGGCGGCAGATTGAGATCGATGAGGCCGGCTCGGCCGCCGTTCAAGTCGAGGACGGAAGAAGAATCGCACTCGCGGCGGTCCCCGCCGAACAGATTCAGCGTGTCCGGTACTCGTCGGCGCTCGGGAGGAGGTGGGTTCTTCGCCGCCGCACGCGCAACCGCGTCGACGTAAAACATCTGGCCGCCGGCGGGATACACGAAGGGGTGGTTGTTCTGGAAGGTGAATGCGGAGGCGGGATCCGGACGAGACGGGGCGCGCCCGCCGCCGTCGAGGCTCGAGGACTCGACGGTGCTGCTCTGGCTCGGGCTCCGGCGATCCACCCCTGTTTTTCGGGCGTCGAACAGGGACACGAAATTGAGATCCTCCGGCGCCGGGAAATTGGTCTTGGCCTTGTGGCCACGGAACTCCCTGGCGGCTTTGTCGTAAGCCCGGGCGGCATCCTCGGCCGTGTCGAACGTCCCTAGCCAAACGCGGCTCTTCTTCCCGGGATCTCTGATCTCCGCCGCGAACCGCCCCCACGGCCGCTTCCTGACACCCCTGAAATGCACCTGATCCTTCTGAATTTCGCGAAACCTCCCACAACCTGCGGCCGCCGCCGCCGCCAACGCCGCCGCTTTCTCTGTGGGAGCCATTATTTCGACACCTGACCTGAGATCGGATAGAGGGAAAGGGAGAAAGGCAGGGTGGGGGTGTGGAGTAAAGGAAGGGAAAAAGAGATATAAATAGGGAAATGGGAGAAATAAATAAAATAAAAATGTAAAGCGAAGTTTAAACTGATGGGAAAATGGCCGGGCAGCGGGTAACGTGGGAACATCGGCGTGACGTGTCACGTCATCGTATATTTCTTGACGGCACAACGTTAGGAACAAACACGTTGAAGGGGGAACTGCCCTCACCGCGTCTTTCTCACTTCTGTCTACTCAATCAATCACCTTCTTTCTCTCTTTTTCTTTTTTTACTCCCTCCCTTTAAATATTATTTTTGTTCTTTATTTAGAAGATTAAAATTTACTCCGTATTCATTTTATTTGTCTACTTTTTTTTATATACATATTTGGCCAAAAAATATAGTCATAAAAAATGAACTTGATATGAAAAAAGTATGTAATTTATACTCTCTTTGTCCTAAAATTTTCTTCCCAGTTCGACTTACAAGATTTTACTGAAATTATTTTTTGTTCATTATTCAAAAGATTAATTTTATTTATTTTATTTGTCTTTTTCTTTTGCATATTTGATCATATAGTATAGTAATGAAAAGTGAATTTGATATAAAAAATATGTAATTTATACTCCTTTTGTCCTTAAACTTTCTTTCCAATTTGGTTTATGAGATTTGACTAAAATAATTATCAATTCAATTTATTAGTTTATAGGTACCAAATTAAAAAATGAAAATTATATATTTAAAAACTACATCATAAGTTTTACAAAGAAAGAAGTGACATGACTATATTATTTTATCAAATAACTAACGAAAATAGGTAAAAAAAAGTGATTAGAGTTTGACCATATGAATAATGTTTGGAAAAAAAGTTTTAGGATCAGGGAGTACTTTTTAGTTACACACAAGTTTTCATATAAAACGACTTTAAAACAATTTACGTCAAACATCGTAACGCGCAACGAAATGATAATTTTTAGACAACCTGATTAAAAAGAAAAAAGACTCTAGACCAGCTGTAAGGCGTTGTGCTGGTAGAGATACTGATATCATGCTCAACTCGGGTTGGACTGGGAAAACAGTAGGTCGAAACACTCGCAATCAATTTGTTATTAAGATGGGAGAATACTACATGCTAGGACTATTGCAGAGTAAGAGTGGAAATCAGATAACCTCAACGAGGAACTAATTATTATTTATAGTGAAATTAAGGAACAAGGCCACGTGTTAGGCCCATGCTATGTTCCCGAGATGATATTTCCTCGTCTTGTATCCTTTTTTTCTTCACTTTCTAGCATATGTCCTTTGTTCCTGTCTCCCATTGATGTGTAGTGCCAGGAGAATGTTCATGGGTGATGTCAACTTATTTTTTCTGCTTATTACTTATTCTTATTAAAACCAGATCAGATCAGACCATATCAGACCCAACCAAATTAGCTCCAATCACATCAGACCTAAACAAAATTACTATTATTGTTATTACTCTTATTATTATATATTATTATTATGATTATAATAATAATTATTATTACTATTGTTATTATTATCATTACTATTATTTCTATCAATAGGTCAGGTATAGATTCAAATCCGTATAATATTCGTAATTTGTGGACCGCAGATATAGAGTATAAGTTTGAGTTTCCATGAATCTATAGGGTACGCGGCCTGCCGAAATGGGCATTTTGACAATGGGAATTTAGAACGCGGCCTGTCATGTTCTTTTTGGGCTCCTTAACGCGGCTAAGTGGATTGTGTTTATTGCCGCCTTCTCAACATTTTCTTTGGTGTGAAAGCATGTTGATTGACAAGGAATTTAACTCAAATTTTTTGACATCGAGTATTCGATTGTCACTTTTACATTTAAGATAATGGGATTATAAAATTGAACAAATATTACAAAGTATGAGAGCATGAAATGAGTCCATGATTTCTGTATCACACAACAGTGTTGGAATTGTATTATAAATTCTTGTATACACCATAGACGAAACGATCTCTCTAAAAATTGGACTAAGATTATATCTTTGTGTCGGGATGTGAGCGTTCTACCTTTTTAATTAACAAATCCAAAGGCATACTCGATGTATGCCCCCTCCCCCTCCTAAAAAAAACTTTGAAGAAATTTAAATATACTTGTAAATTTTTTTAGTCATTTTACTTGAAATTTAGTATTAAAAAAACCTTCATAGATAAAAATCATGGAATATATAAAAGAATTTATAAAATAACAAATGACATAACAATATTATGTTATCAAACAATCAATAAAACCACAAAAATAAACAAAAAAAATTAATGTAAATATGAAATAGAATTTGTGAATTTTATTTAGGGACAAAGGAGTAAGCAAGTGATGAAATAAACAACTCTTAAATACAGAGAATAATAACAATTTATTTTGAGACAAAGGAGTAGGTAAATTCGAAATACAAAGATCTTGTTTAAGAAAAATATTTCCCATTATTGTTAGCATTTTAAATAACCTGTGAAAAAGACTAAAATATGAATAATATATAGAAAATATACCAAAATAAAATTTTCATATTTTTTATTTTCAAAACAGCATTGTGAAATGCTAATCATGCCAATATATAATAGAATTTTCATGTTAAAATGCATATACAATGCTAATCATGCCAATATATAATATCAAAATGTATTGTGAAATACTCATATACAATGTCACATTATCGGATTACAAACTCTTATTTTGAGATAAAGATATGAAACTCTTATTTTTATACATTTTCTATATTAGACTTCTATTTAATGTGATTTCTTAAATGACTTTTTATGATGCAAATTGAATTTTAAAAAACTAAACTTTGAAATTGTTGCAAACATACCCAAAGCACCCTAGGAAATTTATGTGTGCATAAATGTGCGAGGCCACTTAGGCCCAATTGGCTACATACATGGTACTCCATCGAATTTAAATATTCTCTTCATTTTTCGTATTGTCAAAGTTTTAACAATTTTATTAGCCTATTTTTATTATTTATTTATTACTCACTCTGTTTTAATAATCTACTCCATATTTGAGAATTGAATTGAAATTAAAAAATAAAATCTATATATCTAAAAACGAAATCAAAAGTTCTATAAAACTAGAAGTGATATGATTATATTATTTTATCAAATACTCCCTCCGTTCATGAAAGTAGTTCCTTTATTGACTTTTTGAGAAATTAAGGAAGAAATATTTTAGTGTTGACTTTCCAAAAATACCCTTAATGTGATGGGTAAAAGCAAGTTGTGATGGATAGATTATTAATAAAAAGGTATGATACGATAGGTAGCGTATGAAAAAGTAAGGGGTAAAAGTAGTTTTTTAATAGACAAAGGAAGGAGTTAGTGGAACAAGTAAAAAAGAAAGGAGAAGGAGTTTAAGGGACGGAGGGAGTAACTATCGAGAATAAAGAACCAAAGTGATTGAAATTTGATCTAGTAAATATTAAACATACAACTTAGTTTAAGAGAAAGGGGATAGAACAATATAACCATCTTGATTGGTAGAACTTTTGATGCAAACTTAGAACTTGTATAATTTTAATCTTTTTAATCCCACATCAAAATTTAAATATATTAAACAAAAAAAAACAATTTTATTCAAATATCATAAAGTAAAATGGGTACTTAATTTAAGATTGAGGGAATACTTATATAGTATTTCCTTATGCTTATAAAATGGTCAAATATATCTATAAGTTATTTTTAACTTATAAATCAACTAGCTTATAATATATTTCTCTATACTTATAAGCTACTTATAACTTATAAGTTTAAAAAAATAAATAAGTCTTACCTATTTATTTTTAGATCAATTTTTTTGTTTCTTCATTTTGGCCAGATTATTTACAAAATTATCTCCCACCATTTATAAATATTTCCAAATGACTTACCTATCATTTAAGTCATTTTATTTTCACAAATAAATTTCTGACTTATTAGAAATTAATAAGTTAAAAACTACTTATCAGCAATAAATTCGTAAACACTAACACTAAGTAATAAGTTCATAAACACTAACACAGAGAAATACCCCTCTCAAGAGAATGAAGTATTATAAAAGATGAGATGGTGAAAAATTTTAGAACCCTTGAAAATTGGCTACAGAGTTAACTTTTGGGCTTGGGCCTTTCTCAGGCCAGTTCAACAGAAGATTTTCACATAAAAATTACATGTGGGAGGAAGACTCCTCATACACTACAGTCTTTTTTTCAAGTTATTATGGTGGGTGTATTTCTGAGCCGAGATCGTTTGGAAACCTCTCTCCACTTTCTAGTAGGGGTAAGGCCTGCAAAGACACAACATGCTTATGCCTTGCTTTTGTTGGATTCTATGGGGGTGTATTGTATATGGATATTGCTTGGCTTAGATCACATAGTTCTATTAATTCAGCACTTTATTAAGTCATTAAGGTATATGTTTTTTTAGCTCAAATGGTACAATGTATCTATTGAAAAAGAGATAAAGCATTGACTTTTACAGTTACACAAGTTACAAGAAGTATTAACTGTTTTGACAAACAATTTGATGAGGCATATGCTGTTCATCCCTTCTCCAAATCAAAATATAACCCAACAAAAAAAACAAATAAATAAATCGAACTTACTCAGTTAACAAAGCAGACACAAACAAATCCTGCAGAAAACGAGCTCGTCCGTTGGCCTGCTTTATCTTTTCTTCTCGTTCTTCGTAACTTAGAGATGGATCAAAGCTGAAATTTTCAAAAATTATTTTTTATTTTTTTGTTTTCAAAAAATGGTTTTGAAGTATGAACGCATCAGGTGAATCAAACAGCTACCTTAACTTCCAAATGTGTCGAGCCACCTCCTGGCTCTTCATGCAAGTGTCTTCAGAATAGATTTCTTCAGCTTCAGAGATGGAGAAGTTGAGAGAAAGAGATGAGAGGAAAGGATCTGCAGATGATGATGATAATGATGATGTCGTTGCAGTGGCTGACCGATACCCACTGCTTCCTCCTCCTCCTAGAAGCAACTGCAGATGGGCTTCCCGAATATCCTTTCCTAATAAAGAAAGTGCTGTCTGGCTGCTAGGAACTGCCGCCTTACGTAACCGCCGCCTTCGCTGCAAGTATCTTATGGTTAAAGAAACATTAAATGGCTGCTTGAGCATTTTTTTGGCTTATTCTTACCAAACGCTAATTTATTTCGAATATTTTATTTCATTATTAGGCAAATTTACCCAAAGGGGCTCTAAATAAGATCAAGAAGCAGATGGGATCAGAAATATTTGTTCGGAAAATGGGAAAATAGTAAGTACGAAGTAAACACATCTTAAGGATATCTTGAGCAAGTGCCCATGCTGCAGTGTGATATGACTTAACATGTCCCTCGAAACTTTGACAGAACATATGGTACAAACCTGCAATAGTAAGAAGATGGAATGACTAATGAGATTCTTGGAATGCTGCTTCAATTGTCTCTTATGTTTTTTACTTAACTAATGACCAAACATTAATGCGGGCCCACAAGATCATCGCTTTGAACTCACGATCAGACGAAAAAATTACTAACATTGATGGCTACAAGTTGCCATTACCAAACACCATGAAGATAATGTACTCTGTATATCTTCACAACGGATTAAAGATAGAATAAAAAGGAAATAAAGAGAACAAGACAAATATCATTTCACAAAATCAAACTGTTTTTCAATTACGGGGGGGCGGGGGGGAATGTAAGACCGAAATGTTAACCCATCATATACCAGCTGATTTTAAAAAAACTAATATATAAGGCATTGGACTAATTGTCTATGAGGTTGGTCTTTTAGGATAGAAAAGCAAGTTATAATATGGTATCAAAACCTCTTTAACTCAAATCTGAACAGTGATCCTCGTAAACAATGAGCACATAAAATACAAGATTAGCATTAGCCTAGAGGTGGCCCTAAGGGGTAAGGGCGTGAGAGAAGTGCAATCATACAAAGCCCCCAAAAATTTGGGACCCCAAAATAGGTGGAATTCATTATCGACCACCGAATATTCAATTAGTGTTTAAGATTTACTTCAATATGTGTTGCCTATGCAATCTATTTCTCAAAAACGTATAAAGATTTTTTCATTAAATTACCAAATTTTCTGTGAACTTGTGGTAAAATGCTTCATTGCAAAAAAAAAAAATAGTGTTTTACTTCAAAATATTGAAATATTAATGTTGTAAGGTTAACATCATAGAAAAATAAAATAAATGCACTAAAAAATAATTCTAAAAACTTAGGTAAACGGTGTGGTGTAAAATGTAAAGGTCTAATTGTAACTTTTGCACATGGCCCTGGATTAGCCTACGACAACGAGTCACCGTATCCCGTGGCATGTTAAGTCACCCACACTGAATTGCAGTGTGTTTTTATTAAAAAGGCCTAAACTAACCCAACACGCCGGAAATGGAGTTATACATCTAACAAGCATAGACTAGAACATTAGATTAGAGTAACATACAATGCCCCTTCATTTCATTTTAGGAATGAAATCAAGTCTTATAAAAAACGAAACAAACAAAAAACTTAAGATTTAGGAATAAAGATCTGCTTTTATCCATTAAAAGAATCTAACCCAACACGGCGGAAATGGAGTTACAAGTCTGCAAAGCACAAACAAGAACATCAGATTAGAGCAGCTTACGGTGGATTTGGATTCGCAGGAATGGTCATCCTCCAGATGGGAGCAGAGGGAGGTGATATCAAAGTCTTCGTAGCAATACGGGCATGGGAAATCGGGTCGGACCTCTTCTTCAACCTCCACCTCATCTATACTGAACCGATCTGCAAATTACCCAGAAACGAAAAAAGAAAAAAAACAAAATCCCATCTTTACACGAATTCAAGAATCCATCCCAGATCTATAAGTAAATAAATAAATAAATACAGAGTAAATAAAAGGCACACAAACCCAATTGAGAACTGTGGCGGGTAATGCTATTGTAGTTTGTGAGATTGTGATTCTGCAAATTCAATTGGCGTTTGGCGGCTGCGATGCGAGAGCTCCAGAAATCAGCATCCATGGAAGCAAGGAAGAAAGAAGAGATTAAAGAAAGCCCCTTCTTTTTCCTGATTTTGGTGTCGGTTTGTGCCTGTCTGGATGGGAGTTTTTTCCCCCCGCTGAATTTTGTTGCGGCAAAGACGCGAATAAAACTGAACCTTCCATTTTCCGGACTTCTTCAGATTAGATAGATCGAAGAAATGAGTCGTCAGGCTCTGTAATTAAAAATTAAAAAAAAAATAAAAGTAAAGATTTTGATGTATCCAAAATCCCAAAAAAATTACAAGCCCTACAACAAGCTTCATAGAGTACTACGGAGTATTTAAGAAGATGAAAATACAATCCTCATGTTTTTATTTTTATGATAAGAAATTAAGAATCATAATTTATATTCTCAGATTCGAAATCGATTAAACCCAAAACTGTTTAGAATAAAAAATAGGTCAAAATTAAAAATCAATCAATTTGAAACAATAATATCCAAACGGAATGTACTCAAAATAAAATAAAATCATGGCTCATTAGTTATAATTTAATTATATGAGTTTTGTGAGGAAAATGAACAATAATACACCAAATTAACATTAATTATTCTTCTATTGTTGCTAAACATTTTAGTTTTCATATACCATTGAAGAATTTCTAGTCAACATGCTTCTAATCGAGGAAAACCTAACTTTGAGGCTAACTTGACTCCAAATAATCATTTCAAAATTAGCTTCCACAAAGTCCCTTTTGAAGTGATTTTTGTATATAAGGACTAAAATTATGAAAAAATGATATTGCACATAAAATGCTATTTTGAGAGATAAAAATGTTCCAGAAGACAACAAAAATATGTGTAAAAATACTCCGTGATATACTTTTTAGACCTATTTGGGATTCGAACAAAAAAGAACATGCCATAAATCCAATAAAAGCTTGAATACAAATAATAGTGGCACTAAACATCCAAGCCTCCAAGAGTAGACCGAGCAAAGCAGATATAGAACCAATTACTCGAACCAAAAGATCCAAAATCAAAATTCGAGATATTCCAAAAACTTAAAATTCAATCTATTACTGAAAAACCAAGATGATTTGAAAGAATTACAATCAAACCGATTATACTCAAATTGAAAGAGATCTGAAATTAATTTTATCCAAAATTGATTAAACCCGAAACCAATTAGAACAAAAGATTGTCAAAATTGAAAATCAATCAAATTTGAAACAATAATATCCAAAATTTGAAACAAAATTTTGCAGAAGACAACCAAAATTTGTGTAAAAATACTCTGTAATACACTTTTATGACGCATTTTCCCAAAGTAGAAAGTGATAGTGTAAACCGATTTTGGCTGGGATTTGGGTAACCATGGGTCCGGAACAAATAACGTACCACCTTAAATCATACTAATGCGTATTAGAGTCCTTTTATATTTGAATCCATACTATTTGAATTGTTCTGAATCGAAACAATATTGGACCCGACTCAATATCAATCCGAGCCCATCTGAATCGTAATCGAATCAAACCGGAGAAAAAAGAGAACTCAACTAAACTAGCAACCAAATAGAAGCCGATCCAAAATAATTAAAAAAATATATCCATAACAAACCAAAATAAAATGGAGCTGGATCTCAACCAGTTAATTTGATTGCCACTTCTATATCTCTAAACACAAGTCTCAACAATAAGTAACTTATTTATCACAATTACTGTTTCACAACAAATAAAAATACAAATACATTATAAGTCACAATTGTACTAATTTCCTTTGCAAAATGTATATCTGAATTGAATTTCTCTAAATTAGACCTTAACTAAAAAATTAAATTGAACAAACAATGTGTTGAACTTAATAATAATATAATAATAATTACGGATCGGAGTATTATTATTATTATTAAACAATTGTAATTGTGTTAGGAAAGAAATTGTAATTTATTATTAAGGAATAGAGATTTAAAATTATGAAATTACGGAGTATTTTTTAGATATTCCAAAATCCCTAAACAGTCAAAAATAGAAGGCATTAATTTGTTTTGGAAGGAAAAGGCGTACAAAATTGAAACGGCGAGCAGAGAAGTGCAGATCCTGTATTTCGCTCATGCATTGCAGATTTGGACGCCCTTTGCATCTTCTCTGCTCCAGTGTTATCAAGCTTGACGAAGAGGGTCCGAGTCGCAATTCTCCGAGTTTTAACTTCGAGGTTTAATTTTCAGAATTGAAAGAACAAGGGGAAGCTGATGGGGGTCGATTACTACAAGATATTGCAGGTGGATAAGAATGCGAGCGACGATGAGTTGAAAAAAGCTTACAGAAAATTGGCTATGAAATGGCATCCTGATAAGAACCCGAACAATAAGAAAGACGCCGAGGCTAAATTCAAGCAGATCTCGGAAGCTTACGATGTATGTTGACCTAATTCATAGATCCGGTTTCGTCATTTTTTTGCGATGTTTGGATTCACACGTAATTGATCTTGATGCTATAATACATAGTGTAGATCTATCGTCTTAGAATTTTTCCAGATTTCGCTAGTGAATCGAAAACAGCTTATTGGTTGATACTATTACAAGATTGATTCGAAAGTTATTCAAACGAATAAGAAATATCTGTGCAATTCCATTATCTGGGTTAGAAACAGTGGTAATGATGATATTGGATTGCAACATCTTATAGACTTGCCTCAATATGCCTGTAATGGAATTAGTTAAATGACTAATGGAAGAACCAAAACATCTTGTTGGGTTTCTTCTGCTTGTCTTGAAATACTCTGTTTTTTAAAATCTTATGTTGGATTGGATGTGGCATCTGCATTTATGTCATTATCATTATGTTTCTGTAAGTGGATCAATAAAAAAATTACTCCGGTAACAAAATATGAGAAATACGAAGCACGGGTTTGAGGTTAGTATTCGGCTAATGAATTGATTTGCTCAAAACTGCAATCCGGTGATGGATCAAACAAGTTGTGTATCTATGATGCTTTACTCAGATATATGACGACTCTATATTCTGATAGGTTTTAAGTGATCCACAGAAGAGGGCAGTGTATGACCAATACGGTGAAGAAGGGCTTAAAGGTCAGGTACCACCACCAACAGATGCGGGCGGATGGGGTGGGTCAACGTCCTTCCATTCAGGGGACGGACCAAATGTGTTTAGATTCAACCCCAGGAATCCAAACGATATTTTTGCTGAATTTTTTGGCGGAAGTCCATTTGGTGGGATGGGAGGTGGTGGGAGTGGGATGAAAGGAGGCACTTCAAGATTCCCTACTTCACTATTTGGGGATGATATGTTTAGTTCATTCGGCGAGAGCCGATCAATGAACTCCGCAGGGCCACGGAAAGCATCGCCGATTGAAAGGAAATTGCCTTGTAGCCTTGAAGAGCTCTACAAGGGAACCACCAAGAAGATGAAAATCTCAAGGGAGATAGTTGATGCTAGTGGGTAAGTCGTTTTTAGTTTTTTCTTTCTTGGTTTCACGACTATAGGTTATTCCCATTTTTGGTCTCCAACTGTCAAATTTTCTGCTCTAGGTGCATTACTATGGATTTACTGCCACATTTGGTCCTTTCTCATCACTCATTTCTTATTTGGCATAAGCCAATCAGGAAGTGCACAGAAAATTGCTGGAATAGTGGCAGGAAAGATCACAAGTGACCAGGAATGCATAGTTGTGCACAAAAGTAGAAGTGTAGTTACACGATTTCATCTATCTTCCCTGAGTTTGTGCAAATTACCAAATGACTGGAAATTCCTTGAAATTAAAAAAGAACTCTCTTAAGCAGTCAGATTTTCCTCAAAACACACCGAAGGACGATATCATGATAGCCTAACCTTGATAGGATATGCAGGATTTAATGATATTAGTTTGGATTGAGTTTTTCTGGATTTAACTATCCTCAATTTGTGTCCCTAATATTCTTTTTATAGGTGCTCTAAATACTTTCTAGTCAATAAAATGCATTGTATAACACCAAATTCGATTTGAGTAGTCTTGTATATATTCTACTGGAATAATATTTCACACTGTTAAAAGGGTCATTTGCGAAAAATATGACTTTCCAAGGAGCTCAACCTTAATATTCAGAAAGATTCAATGTGATCAAACCTGGTGGAGGTCGATGTAATTAATTCAAAGGGCAGAAATGACTTGAGTAGTTTATACAAGCAGATGAAAAAAAGCCCCAATAAAATGTTACTCCATATCTGTAGTTGATTTTACCAACACTTACCCTCCTTCATTGGGCAGGTCAACTATGCAGGTAGAAGAGATATTAACCATAACAATCAAACCTGGTTGGAAGAAGGGAACAAAGATCACATTCCCTGGAAAAGGGAACGAAGAGCCAAACGTGATCCCTGCAGATCTGGTCTTCATAATCGATGAAAAACCACACAGCAGATTCACAAGAGAAGGGAACGATCTCGTTGCTGTGGAGAGAGTGACACTTGTTGAAGCATTGACAGGTTATACAGTCCACCTGGCGACGCTGGACGGAAGAAGCCTGACAGTGCCCATAAATTCTATTGTACACCCGAATTACGAGGAGGTGGTCCCGAAAGAAGGGATGCCAATACCTAAAGATCCATCAAAGAGAGGGAATTTGAGGATAAAGTTTAGCATCCAATTCCCTACAAGATTGACACCAGAGCAGAAGGCTGGTCTCAGCAAATTGCTTGCTTAAGTGAATGAATGAGTGAGCTCTTGTCAAGTGCTTTTCCAATATTTGCAATTTCTAAGGGTATAATCTGTCTTTGTGCACATTACTAACATTCACATCCTCATTTTGTGCCCAGAGACTAGTTAGTTGCTATTTCCTGCATCACTTAAAAAGTTTTTTGGGTTTGAGGCAACACGGTTATTTACATAATCTCAGATTGTGTGTTTGAGATTTATGTAGACGAATGGAGAATAATATGAACTGCATATGGAGTAATTCTTTGTGTATGAAAATGAAACTGTACATGGTGCTAACTATTAGTTCTTCACTTCTTTGAGAAGAATTACAAACTTCACGAAAATTATTCTTTCTGAAACTGAATTTCTTTGTCCCAAAATAAAACTCGTGCCGGTAGAAAATTCTAAACTAATTTTCAGTTATATTTATTTAAAATAATTTTGATCAAACGTCATAAAACAAAGTAGAAGTCTTATTGCAGAAGGGATGTAACTGTTCAAATTTATTCAATTATATTTATTATTTTATTTATTATATTTTCATCCTAAAATTTAAAATTATTTGTTTTTATTTCAAAAATAGACTAATTTGGAAAAACTCACAAAGAAATGACTATTTTAGAAAATTAGTCTTAGTTTTGACATTATTTTGATGATCATTACTCGGATGACTAAATTTAAAATTATTCTTGAAATTTAATTAACGAATCCCATTTTTGTAATTTATTCATTTTAGAAACTACTTTAAAAAAAATATATAATTATTGAGTACCACTCTCTAGTCCCTATTTTGAGAATTTATTCTAAAATAAGTGAGCAGAAAGGTTTAAGTACTCGTATCACTTTGAGTCGCCATTTGCTCTCCAAAAACTCTCCCAAAGTGTTAGTAAGAACTAAGAACACTCACTCTCAGTCCACAGTCAACCAGATCTACTGCGAAACTCAGTTTTGCTTCGAAGCTCGGCCGGAGCTCCGCCCGGTGGAGCCTATAACGGCACAACTAGACAATTGTCCGCCGTTGATCCCTCAAGGTTTGATCAGAACTAATTATTCCTTTTACTAATATGCCAGCACGTCTACCTGTTCGACGAAATGCCTCTTCCAAATTCTAAGTTTGCAATTAACCTTTCTTTACTTAGGGCGCGTTAATGGGTAGCAAGACATCGATCAAGTGGCCTAAGGAAATCACAACAGGACTGGTCGAGCAGTTGATCAAAGCCGAAAAAGACATTCACAAAGCCGTTCTGATATTCGACGCTGCAACCGCGGAGTACAGCAATGGCTTCCGCCACGACCATACCACTTTTCGCACTATAATCCAACGGTTGCTTTCTGCAAACCGGTTCGCGTCCGCCGAGGAAATGCTAGCCAGAATGGTGAAGGAGAAGTGTAAGGTTACAGAGGATGTGCTGCTCTCCTTGTACAGAGCATATGGCAGGGTTCACAAACCACTTGATGTGGTAAGAGTTTTCCAGAACATGAAGGATTCTTACCATTGCGAACCTACCCAGAAGTCCTACATCACGGTTTTTTCCATTCTTGTGAATGAAAACAGGTTGAATACGGCTTTTAAGTTTTACCGTTACATGAGGGAAAATGGCGTCCCACCAAACACTGCATCACTCAACATTCTCATCAAAGCACTTTGCAAGAACGAAAAAACGTTGGGTTCTGCTTTTCGTATATTCCGTGAGATGTCTAAGCATGGGTGCAGTCCAGATTCGTTCACTTATGGAACCATGATTAGTGGGCTTTGTAATCTAGGGAGGATTCTTGAAGCAAAAGAGCTTTTCGTGGAGATGGAAGCGAAAGGATGCTTACCTACTGTCATAACCTATACCACTATGATTCATGGTCTCTGTCTGTGTAATGATTTGGATGGAGCCGTGAGATTGCTTGAAGTTATGAGAACAAAACATGTCGATCCTAATGTGTTCACTTACAGTTGTCTCATGGATGGTCTCTGCAAGAATGGACGCTCTTTAGAATCCATGGAGCTGATGGAGAAGATGATCAGCGAACACAAGGTGCCAAATATAATAACTTACAGCACCTTAATCCACGGACTATGCAGAGAAGGCAAGCTTCGCGAAGCATTGGAGATTTTTGACAGAATGAAGCTTCAGGGATTGCAACCCGACGCGGGGTTGTACTGGAATTTGATAAGTCTATTTTGCGAGAGTAACAAGTTCCAGGAAGCAGCTAACTATCTAGATGAGATGGTTCTTGGTAGGGTCACTCCGAATCGGGTAACTTGGGCCCTTCATGTGAAGATGCACAACACATTGGTCCAAGGACTAGTTGCCCATGGTGGGAATGATCCGAGACGGGCTTTTCAATTGTATTTGAGCATGAGGAGCAGAGGAATCTCAGTTGAGGAGAAGACGTTTGAAGTTCTTGTTGCTTGCTTTTGTGAGAAGGGAGATCTGCACAAGACTTGTCGTATCGTGGAGGAGATGGCAATTGATGGATGCATACCTGGGAAAGGAGTATGGAGTGCTGTTTTGGCCTCTTTTTGGGACAGGAAGAAGGTGAGGGAAGCTACTGAGTTGCTACACTCTCAGCTGACTGCTGAACTTATGGAGTGTTAGCCCGGAGTGTGTGTCTGAACATGGCCGTTCGTTCATTTAACACTATTGATGACATCGTTGTGTCTATGCTGATACATACAAATAACAATGACTGTGTGTGAGAGACACTGTGGTGTCATCAAATGGTGTCATTGTAGCTTGACCCTTCGAGCTTAAGGCCGTAGTTTACCATTCCTTCCCTTTGAAACCAAACACGCCCAAAGTGTCCTACAGAATGCACAAATGGCAGTGATCTGTGATGCAGAAGTGAAGTGTTTCCATAGTCCTCCCTACAATATGAAATTAGTTATGGACATCTTTGCCCTGGTCAGAAGGTGAGCTTTAAGAAAATGTCCTGAGGGCTGTTTGTTTAAATTTTAAATATTTTGGAAAACAGAAATAGAATTTGTTTCATATGGGTGATCTATTAAAAATGGTGTGAACTTTTGGTCCACAAAGCATTCTACTCTGTAATATCTTTCCTCCATTTCAAAATAATTATTACCACCTTTTTTCATTCTTTCCAAAATAATTCATCCATATTTTTTTATAGAAAAAATATATCCTCCAAATTTTTTCTCTTCTAAACAAATTTACATAACACATTCTTAAATTTTTTATATCCTTTCAATATCTTAAAAACACTTTTTTAATTTTCATGAAGTAAAAAAGGATTTAATTATTCTGAACGGAAGAAGTAGAATACACTGCATTAGATATAGGACTTAAGAGCTAACTAAGAAAAGAGCCCAGTTCTATAAGTAATAAGAGACAAATGAATCGAGTATGTTCCTAAACGATGTTGTGGACACAAAATTCCACGCTGAATATCCAATGCTAAAAGACTAAAAATAAATTATATGAACTTCACCTCACATCCTACTTTTGATCCAATTACTTTTTAGATGTTACAGACACAGAACAGTGTTCTGTGTCTGTATTGTCTGCGAAGACACTGGGGTCAAAAGTGAGAGGTAAGGTGGGATTCTTCTAGCATGGTTCAGAAGACTAACATATGAGAATCCAATTTTGGTTGAAATTTCATGATTCTTCTATGTAAACCACAATCACCCAAAACACAAAGTATGGAGTACATGAGAACAAGTGGCCGGGCATTGGTCAAGAAAAGAGAAGAAGAAAAAAAAAAGGAAAAGGAAAAAGGAGAATGATTTGGTGCGTGGATGGTTGATCTCCTCAATATATATGAGTGGTAAAGCATTGAGTGTAAAGTTAATCATAAAGCATGATTTTTATTTGGACAAGCGCATCTCTTTTACTCCCTCCGTCCTGCTTTGTTTGTCCACTTTTGACTTTTGGAACTGTTCATCTAAGCACTTTGACTCATCAAATTCTCTTAATGTGTAAGCCTAAATATAGTCATGCGTGATCTTGTTTGATTTGTCTTAACATATAGATTATTAATATATAATTTCAATAATTTTTTAATATACAAATTACAAGATAAAATGGATTAAAGAAGTGTATTGGATGGTGTGCAAAAATGAAAGTAGACAAATATAGTGGGACGGAGGAAGTAATTTGTTTGAACCCTAATTTGTACGTGCACTTGGATCACATTTCAATTCTGAAAGATTTTTTCCACACTTTTTTTTAGTGTCTTTGATGAGCAATAATATGCAATTTCAAGTGGATCTTTTTCTCTAGGGCAACCCCAATGCAAGCAAAGATAGATAGAAATCCTGCCCCACAGACGGACCATTGCCATTATTATCCTTGTAACCCCTGCCCCATTCATGACACCATGCCTCAATCTGGTCTCTCCCTTGCATATTCAAATTTTTTCTCACTTTTAAAGAAAATACTCATTTTGAACAAACGTGCAAAATCTTTTTTCAAAAGACTATATTTATTAATTAGTATACCATAAAAAAGTATAAATTATATTATTCAAAGTCATACTCGTATTATGTTATTGTCGGTAAAAAATTATTATTTATGATTTACTAATAATGTCAATATTAATGTCATTCTTGGTGGCTATTGAACCTCTAACAAAAAATAATTATCAAAATTTGATCCATTACAATTAGGATAAAATCGTCTAAATTCTGTATACATTTTGTTTTGTATGAGATGTCAATTTCTGCATACAGAATCTCACTATACACTTTCTTGATCTAAAACGACCATTGTCTCTCCCACACTAGAAAAACCAGAGCCCATTCCTTTTCAAGATTCTTTGATCCGATCAATCATAATCGCCACTCTCATTTTCTCAATGACCCTCTTTTCTTCTTCTTCTTTGTCCCTTCAAGCTCACAGAAGAAGCTAAGCTGCTTTCAAACAAAAATGCTAATTTTCAGAATCTTTATCGCTGTTCTCTTCTTCACCGGCTTCACTTCCTCCCACAATCAAGAAGTCGCTTACCTGTACACCGCGAAGCTCGGGTTTGGCGACCCCAGTGGTTCCCTCTCGAGCTGGAACGCCACAGACGACTCGCCGTGCGATTGGTACGGCGTTGGCTGTGATTCCGTGTCCGGCGCTGTCAGATCGCTCGACCTTTCTAATGCTAATATTTACGGTCCTTTTCCGGCGGTTCTTTGCCGGCTTCGGGATTTGAGGTTTGTTTCCTTGTACAATAACTTCATCAATTCCAGTCTTCCCGATGGGTTGTCGGGTTGTCGGTCCCTGGAGCACCTTGATTTGGCTCAAAATCTCTTGTCTGGACCGCTTCCGGCGAGCTTGGCCCAGCTTCCCAACCTGAAATATCTCGACGTCACCGGGAATAATTTCTCCGGCGAAATCCCGTCGACCTTTGGGGCCTTCCCGAAGCTCGAGGTTTTGGGACTGGTTTCGAATCTGTTCGAAGGGACGATTCCCGCTTTTCTGGGGAACATTTCGACTCTGAAACAGCTGAATCTTTCGTACAACCCGTTTTACCCGGGTCGGATCCCTCCCGAGCTTGGAAACCTCACGAATCTCGAGTACCTATGGCTCACGAGCTGCAACTTGATCGGCGAGATTCCCGACTCACTGAGTCGACTCACTAGGATCATCAATTTCGACGTGGCTATGAACAATCTGAGCGGTCCCTTCCCGAGCTGGCTGACTGAGTTGACTAGGGCCGTCCAAATTGAGCTTTACTCGAACTCGTTGACCGGAGAGCTCCCGGCGGCAGGGTGGTCTAAGATGACGGCGCTGAGACGATTCGACTCGTCGATGAACCAGTTGAGAGGAACCATTCCCGGGGAGCTGTGTGAGCTACCGCTGGGGTCGCTCAATATATATGAGAACCACTTAGAAGGGGAGTTGCCGGAGAGCATTGCAGAGTCGCCGAATTTGTACGAGTTACGGATCTTCGGCAATAGTCTGAGAGGAGATTTACCCAAAAACCTCGGCAGAAACTCACACTTAACCTGTATTGATGTTTCCGACAATGAGTTTTCCGGCGAAATCCCGGAAACTTTGTGCGGAATGGGTACCCTGAGTGAGCTTTTGATCATAAACAACTCCCTCTCCGGTGGGATCCCACCTAGTTTGGGTTCTTGCCGGAGCTTAAGACGGGTTAGGTTGACCCACAACAATTTATCCGGCAATGTTCCGATCGGATTCTGGGGATTGCCCCATGTCTCTCTACTTGAGCTGGCAGACAACTCATTTTCTGGCGAAATTGCCAAAACCATTGCCGGTGCTGCAAATTTGTCTGCTTTGGTTTTGTCTAGGAACAATTTCTCTGGCCCCATTCCGGCAGAGATTGGCTTTCTTGATAAGCTTATTGAGTTTCGGGGTAACGACAACAAGTTTTCTGGGCCATTACCTCCTACCATACTGAATCTTGGGCTGCTAGCAAGATTGAATCTTCAGAACAACAAACTATCAGGTGAGCTTCCTTCCGGAATCCATTCTTGGAAGATGTTGAATGAATTGAACATAGCAAACAATGAATTCTCTGGGGATATTCCTCCCGAAATAGGAAACTTGTCTGTTTTGAATTATCTTGATCTGTCGGGAAACCAGTTTTCTGGAAAAATTCCAGCTGAATTACAGAACTTGAAGCTCAATCAGTTCAACTTGTCTGATAACAGACTTTCTGGCAAGATCCCATCTTTTTATGATGACCAAATGTATAAGAACAGCTTCTTGGGAAACTCAAGGCTGTGCGGAAACATTGGAAGGTTATGTGATCGGAGAGGTGATGAAGCAAACATTGGTTATTATTGGCTATTCATATCGATCTTTGTGTTTTCTGGGCTGGTTCTTGTCGTGGGGATCGTTTGGTTCTATTGGAAGTACAAGACTTTCAAGAACTCGAAAAAGGATATTGACAGATCAAAATGGACCTTAATGTCATTTCACAAGCTGGGTTTTGACGAGTACGAGATTCTGGATGCTCTTGATGAAGATAATGTCATTGGAAGTGGACTATCCGGAAAGGTGTACAAGGTCGTGCTGAGCAATGGGGAGGCTGTTGCTGTGAAGAAGATGGAGAGAAATACAAAGTTTGAAGACGACGAAGACATTGAGAAAGGTGGTTCTCATCAAGATGATGGCTTTGAAGCAGAGATTGAGACATTAGGGAAAATCAGGCACAAGAACATTGTCAAGCTCTTGTGTTCATGCATTACAAGGGACTGCAAGCTTTTGGTTTACGAGTACATGCCAAACGGAAGCTTGGGCGATTTACTTCACAGCACCAAAAGTGGGCTTTTGGATTGGCCTATGAGGTTTAAGGTAATAATGGATGCCGCGGAGGGTCTGTCCTATCTGCACCATGATTGTGCTCCTCCAATTGTGCATAGAGACGTGAAGTCGAATAATATACTACTAGATGGGGATTTTGGTGCCCGGGTGGCTGATTTTGGCGTGGCTAAGGCAGTCGATTCAAGCGACAGAGGACCAAAATCCATGTCTGGCATCGCCGGTTCTTGTGGTTACATTGCACCAGGTAAACATAACATCACATTTTTTAAAAACTAAACTAGAAATTTTTGTGGTTTTCGTAAATTTTTTAAGTTATAGGGGTAAGGGTAAGATCTGCCTACATATACGCTCCCCAGACATTACTTTTGTTGTTGGGTGTGCATTGTTGCAGAGTACGCATATACCCTGAGGGTGAACGAGAAGAGCGACATATACAGCTTCGGGGTGGTGATCCTGGAGTTGGTGACGGGGAGGCTCCCGGTGGACCCCGAATACGGGGAGAAGGACTTGGTGAAGTGGGTGTGCACCACCTTGG